ATGACAGACATCGCTGAGGGGAAAAAATAGTATCCCATATTAACCAGAGCACAGAAAGACAAAGGCTCCCCACTTCGTGCCAGTTACAAAGTGAACCAGTAAAAGATCTAAGGAATGATGCAAATGTACTCATCAGAACAATCCCAACCAACATGCTAAAGGAAACAAACTAGCTCATGTAGAAATACCTACCATAATAATCATGGAACTTGGTTACAAGCTAAAAAAAAAAAAACCCAGAAAAGTTCTGGCACTCCAAAAAGGAAAACTCAGCTAGAAAGAAAAATAAACAAATTACGTGCAGTAATTATTGACCAGTTACATGCCTTCCAGCAACGTTCAGGCTCCTCACAGGAGCACTGGCAAGATCAAGATATAATTACTTAAATTAAAACTCCCTATACCCAACTGAACAGAAAGGGAACTTTAAAATGTCAAGAGGCATGAAAGATCAGCTACTTATTGATAAAATGATACAGAAGAATGCAAAATGATGACAAGTCCTGGCATGGCCTTGATAGACCATTAAAAGGCAAAGGCATTTGACTCATTGCCACACCGATGGATTAACACCTGGCTAAAAAAAATTGGGATTAGTAAAAATATTCAGAGGTTCCTTAAGAAAAACATGGAAAAATGGAAAACTGTCTTAAGGGCAGAGATGGAAGGAGTTAGCATCAAAAGAGGAAAATTTCAAGGGGATTCTTTGTCACTACTGCTGTTTAACAGCTCACTAATCCCCATGTCAATAATTTTAAATAATACTGGGTTGGGCTACTATATTTCAGAATAAACAGGAAAAATCAATCTGTTATACATGGATGACCTAAAACTGTATGCAAGAAGTTCCATAGAGATAGAATTACTGCTAAACACAGTGTGAATATTTTAGGAAGATATTCAAATGAAATTTGGAATTGACAAATGTGCACCTCTGTCTATAAACTGTGGCAAGATCCAGAAACTAGGTGTAATAGAGTTAAAAATGGCAATACTATAAAATCTATATCAAATGATAAAATTATAAATACCTTGGAATAATAGAAGCAGATAACCTCCTGCACACAGAAGTTAAAGAACTGACAAAAGACTGTGGAAAATCTGAAAATCCAAATTAAATGGTGGAAATACAATCAAAGCCATGAACACATGGGCAGTTCCAGTAATTAGATACCCAGCTGGAATAATAGATTGGACTCAAAACGAATTAGAATTGGATTGGAAAACATGGAAATTAATGAACATGTCTCAGGCACTATATCCAAAAAGTGATGTGAACAGATTATAGTTACCACGAAAAATTGGAGGATGTGGATTACTGCAAATACAGCAGGTAGTAGAGGAGAAAAAAAGAAGCCTAAATTATTATAGCAGTACAAGCAGAGAAAAATTTCTTAAGATGGTGAAAATGGACAATATTTTGAAAACAACAGAAACAAAGGCTCAATAATAAGAAACAAGAATTTGAAAAGAAATTAAACAGAAAAATAAACCACTACATGGACAACACCTGATAAATATTGATGGAAAGCATGATATTGTAGTAATTTAGTAATTCATCATGGGCATGGCTAAAACATTAAGAAAGAAACCAAAGACTTGATTTTTGCCACACAAAAACAAGCACTCCAAACCCATGTGATGAAAGCTAAGATCCAGGGAATCTGCCAAGAAAAAGATGAAACTGTGTCACACCTCATCTGCAAATGTCTAAAGACTGCACAAACAGATTACAAAATCAGACATGACAGAGTGATAAAATTATGCAAAAAATATAACCTGCCAGCCTCCAAAAACCCATGGGAACATCAGGTAGAGAAGGTGTCAGAAAATGATGAAGTCAAGATTTTGTGAGAGTTCCGGATCCAAACAGATATACACTTTGAACATAAAAAAGCAGACATAGTAGTAGTAGAATGAGGAAATGTGCAGATCATTGACACTGCAATTCGAGGGGATGCCAGAGTTGAAAATAAAGAATTGGAAAAACTAACAAAGTATAGTGACCTGGCAATCAGGATATCTTGCTTATGGACTACTGGTCCCCATAGTCATTGGGGCTTTGGGAACAATATCAAGAAATTTCACACAATATTATAAGCAGTTGCAGATCTCAGAAATCACACCTTCAGAGCTACAAAAAAAAGGCAATATTAGGAACAGCATATATACTGTGCCGATATTTAACAGATACATATGTTTTTGATTAAAACTGTATCTGTTATTTAATACCACTCAAG